ATCATAACTCACGCTTACATTCGCTTCTTCTATCGAGGTAGGGCAGTAGAAGCGTGAGCACATATAAGCGCTTATTTTCCAAAGAGAACGATAAGTTAGATTGCGTCGATGAAATCGACGCAATCTAACCTCCAATATAAATCTTAAAGTGAAATAGTGTTTCAAAATGACTTCCAACGAGAGTAACAAAACCAGAGTAACTCTGCAAGATGTTACAAATAATAAAATGTATACACTTGATGTTACATCAGATGAGGCAAAACATGTAGAAACAGGTAAGTTTAGGACATCTCTCATAAAAATTTATTATTTTTGTTATTAAATCATATTTATTTTGAGTAATAAAGCACTGTCCAACTGTACCCTTATAGAAATATCATACTAAGAATCATTGATAATTACTTATTTTCAGTATTAAAAATACTGGATAATAAGTAATTATCAATGATTCTTAGTATGATATTTCTATAAGGGTAATTAAAAAAAAATAAGTAATATTTTAGCAACACGTAATACATTTGATGAAGGAAACGGACTTTCTCACAAATTTATTGTACCTAAATCTTCATATTTTGTTGTATAAAACATGAATATGAAAATTAAAATTGTTGATCTTAAATAAAACAAAAGTTATAAAGTGAAAAGTTATTAAAATGTGACTTAAATACTTCATCATTGTATAATGGTACAACCACTTCCACATAGTTTTTTAACCGAGGTATTGTTTTTTTTATTGATCCAATCATTACGGATAAATACTTTTCTAATTTTTCTTTATATAAGTTATTTGTTTCGTTATCACCAAAAACATCTAATAAAACTAATAGTTGAGCAAATACACAAACAATTTCCTTATCTTTATCCTCCATTTTTAGGGTGTATATCAGTTGGACACGGGACAATTGGACACAGTCCAATCACAAGTCGCTGTTCCAAGGGACCCTACAAATGTCTCTAATCACACGGTGCTGTGATTGGCTGTGTCCAAATGCACCGTGTCCAAGTGCACCGCTCCCGATTGTGATCTGCAGTATTGCAATTGATAATATGGTTGCTTTCAGAAAATAATTTAGCTCAGTGAGGTCTTAGTAATTCTTAATATGATTGGTACACGTGTATTATGTAATTGTAAATAAATTTCATTATATTGAACAAAATTTACCTCTTTTGCTTTTTCTGAACTTTCAGAAATCCTTGTTTGTAAAATGGGTCTATTGGCTCCTGCACACAGAACGCGGTAATGCTTGCCGCGCGGCGGAAGTTCGTGCAACAGCCAATCAATAGGTTGCTTTCCGTAATAACCTTCTAACTCTTACGGAAAAACAACATATTGATTGGCTGTCGCACGGACTTCCGCCGCGCGACAAGCATTGCCGCGTCCTGTGTGCAGGAGCCATAAATTTTATAACTATTACGTCGACTTGTATATAGCCAGATAATAGGGAGTTTTTACAATATCGTCTTTCAGATATAGTAACGCAAAAGTACGTTCCAATGTTCAGTGTCAGTACTTCAAATCTATAGGATACGTAACACAAACTGTA